AATTAGATTACCCCAGCCTAATAGCACTGCATATATAGACAGTTTTGTTTTGCTGCAGAGCTAATTAGGAAATGTGTAGATGTCCCCAGGGTGTTTTCTTTTGCCCTTCTGCCTAAGTGGAGCTGCATGAGCAGGGCACAGTCCAATTACGAGAAAATCTCTCTTTCTTCAAGAGCAGTGGTTTTTGAACAGGGATTTGCCGAGGGGTCCATGCTCAAATTTCAATAACGGCCGTGCAGTTTCTGACTGGTGTACTTGCAGTGAGGAATGACACTGGTGTGCATCGACATTGTCGACACAGTGAATATGCAGAGACATGCCAGGTATAAGGAATCTGAGCAATAGTATTTTGCAGGGAAAGGGGGATTTGGCCAAAAAAAAGCTTGAAAACCACCACTCTAAAGCAGTGATTCTCAACCAGGATGCTGGGACATCGGATCCTTTGAAGGATGTTGAGAAGTATGAGAAGATGAGCAGATAAGCAAGCTTAGGTTTGTCCCCGCCTGAATGATCCCTCACCCCTACTGCCCAGCCCCTATGTAAAGGAGGTAAGCACTGGAATATATACATTAGTTTTTGAAATTGGGTGCTCCTCAATTCACAGAAGTTATGGACAGGTGGGTGCCTCGAGTCCCGAAAGGTTGAGAACCACTGCTGGAGAGCATTCATTCCTTCTGCTTGCGTCTCTGCAGCTTCTGCACTCCTCCCTCGGTGAAAATATTTGCTTGGACGGGGGTTCATTAATGCATAAGTTACGCATATTTTTTTTCAAATCCCCTTCTGTGGAAGCAGAGAAAGGGGGGATAATTTGAGTACCCTGATGGAAAGCTGCTGGCACTAACTGGTTATACAGAAAGTGTCTTGTGTATTTAAGCATGCACATTGGTTTTTAAATATAATACTGAATTTAGCTACTCCACAACAAGGTCAAGAAACACAGAAATGTACCCAGTAAAGTGTATTTAAGACATGAGGAAAGCAAGGCGCTCTGCATTCATTCTCACCTTCCCACTCGTACACTAGCACTTTGCTGGTGCCGTGTCGTTAATTTTACTGAATTGCATATAGGATAGGAAGAAACTTGGCATTTTTTCAGAACCATCATAAGCAGATGGATGAGATGGAGAGAGAAAGATTAGATTAAGGAAACACAGCATGCTGATTTATAGTAGAGTCACTTTAGGCCAGATTGCATGCCGACTTCCTTCCATGCAGTCCTCTGGGTTTCAGTGAAAATGAGAGAGATGAAGTTGACATTTTTAAGCAGGTTTGGATATCCTGCTTAAAGATCTGCCAAAGCCCGTCAGAAGTTGTGGGCTGTTGCAGAAATGGCTGATGGGGTTGTTTCCAGTGCTGCTCTGCTCCTCTTGTCTCCAGCGGGAGCTGCCCAGCTGAAGCTTGCCCCTTCCTGGCAAAACCCTACTTACCCCCCGCACCGGGCAGGGTGCGCAGGGAGTGGGTTGGCCTAGCCCACCCGTCCCGCTTCTCAACACAGCTCCCTGCCCAGAGCCCCGTAAGGGAGTTTTGGTGAGTTGTTTTGTGGATGATCATCAGCCGCTAGATGATTACAACAGCCCCTTCTAGCCTTAAGATCTTTTATCTCATCTCTATATCTAGATAAATGTGCCAAGATGGAAGGAAAATATCTGAAAAAATCTGTTTTCCCTCTTTCTCTTTCCTTTATTTTCTATTTTATGTGTGTTTCCCTCAAACCTATTTTTTTATGCCTTCCCTAGAATTTCTCCCTAGATGTTACCTACTCATGGCAGATACAGAACAAGTTCATGTCTTTTCCACCATATTATTAGGCATCTCGGCTGGGAGTTTTGAAAACCTAATTTCTCTTTAATGGAGCCTTTCGGTATTCAGCAGGTGGTGAATGCACCGAGTGAAAGGGTTGCCTAGGATGACTTGAGGGCATCCCATATCACCCACAGTACAAAAAACAAATCCTAATCTGATCAGTGTACAGATTAATGATCTACACTTCAGGGAATAAAGTAAATCTTGACTCACTGACCATCTGCTGTCAGAAAGGTCTGAATAGCTGAGCTGAATAGCTGAGATCAATCTGACAAATGAAGAAATTCTGGACAGAATCCATATATTTGGCTGTATCTATTGGCATCACTGATGACTTCCCTGTTCCTGTAATCTCTGGTTTGTGGGGAAGGATTACAAACCGAAATTCAAGTATTAGCTTCTGTGCCCAGAGGGCCTCCCGTGACAGCCGTGGGCGTTCCATACAAGGAGAGAGATGGGATCTGTACGTGTAGCTGCACACTCATGCTGCGGGCAGGTTTTTGATCGCAAAAGAGAGCTGCTCTTTCTCTCTTGGTCTTCTGCCCCGACTGGAGAGTATTGAAATAAATGGACATGATGTACTGTGGCACCTAGCAGTTCTGCAAAACATCTGGATAGAGTTGTCATAATCTCTCAGCTGCTTTCTGAAATCACTGGTTAAGAAACTTAAAGGACTGCACATACTTGTCTTGGTTGTTTTCTTCTTTCTTCCTCACTCTTCTCTCTTCACCACAATTAAACTATGCACAAACATCTTCATTGTTTTATCTTAGAAATCATTGGTTCGTGCTTGGATCCGTGAAGCCTCTTTTATTTTTAATACAGCAGAATACGTGTTCCTAGTGGAATGTCAGCAATTGTTTAAGGAAAAAAACCCCCCTTATTTTATTAGAAGTTTAAAATCAAAGCTTAAACTTGGATAACAAACAACGGTATGGAGTTGCTAAACATTTTACACTGCATTTTTAAGTTAGCTGTACGCACGCACATGCTAAAACAACAAGAAAACAGTAGATAGTGGTATATTTATAATGTATTATGACCACATTTTCATCTATTCTGATTGCTCTGCAGATTTATGACCTGCATATGCAATATGTAGATGGGACATGCATGTGAAAAATTGCAAAGCCAAGTGATAAATGAATATCTCATGCAGGTGTATTGTCTTGACTTTTCTCTTCCTATTATTCTAGCTCTCTGAGGCCATCCCTAACAGTCCCACTCCCTGAATAGCTACAGACAAGAACCATTTAAAAATAAATCAGCTTGACATAAAAAACCCCTTTTCACTTTCTTTCCAAAATATGAACTTCTTCCCCATTTGCAAGGACCCAGGGCTCAGGTGAAATGAGATTAAATTCTTCACCTGCAACAACTTTTCTGTGTGTGATAGGCATTGGACCATGGAAAATATATTATTTTAGCAGGGCTAAAAATAGAGCTTTTTATACCACTGCCGAAATGGGGAGTGTTCAGCTTTATAGCAGGCTCCAGCAGTACATCAATTTGTGGAAGTTCCCAAGATAATGTTCCTTAAAGCTGCAATCTTTCTCTATAAAGAAGAACATTATAAGTTGCTCTTGTGGTCTCTTGTAAGCCCCTTAGAGTTGCACTGATAGTGATTCAGACATAATAAAGTAGAGAAAAATGCTGATTAATTGCAATAAATTTATAAAAAACACTAATAAGTATCTATTTTAGTTTAGGTAGGGAAGGCAACACCTGTTATTATTAAGATTGCTCAATATGTCATTTGAATAAGGCATTTTTCATTTTTAATACATGTGTCATACACAGGGCATATGGTATATCATTATAGGCATGACTGGTAGTGCTATCTATGATTAACGTTTTAGTTATAAGACCCTGATTTTGGTTGCATGGAACTTACTCAAATGGTAACAATTTGGACTGGATTTTTTTCTTACTGAGTGTCTCCTTGAGCCAGAATATTTGGAAAGGTTTAGCCAAATCAGCTCAACTATTTCTGAGAACAATACTGTATTAGGGGAAAATAGTATTTTGTTAAAGAAACTCTAGCACCCTCATAATTTGGAGCTGGGAATTGAAATTTGTCATGGGAGTACCTTTATCTCTGTCTAGCCATAAACATACCCATAGTATAAAAATACATTAATTAAAACAACATTTTTTAGAAAAAATGATTACATCTCTTTGGTTGTAGCTGCCGACTGTTTCCTTCCCACTGGCATTTGAGGGAAATGTCTTAATATTCATGGCATAAAGTGGGATATACTATACTACTTCAAGGGTTTGCATTTAAATTGTCATGCTTTCACCCTTGCAGTCCCTTTTATCAATGTGTGCATATAGGCCTTTTCCCTCCTACAGGCATTTTTCTGGTTGCAGAACTAATTTCATCCTTCCCTGTTCGTGCTGCACTTGGTGGTAAAGCCCTGACTACGCCATTCTAGGCTGAAAGCAGGTTTCCCTGAAGCAGCCAAGTGTGCGGGTCTAAAGCTACCTGTAATGCAGGTTGTTATTATTAGTTTAACAGTAGGATATGTTTCTTTAGAGTGTTTAAAACCCAATACTTGACCTGTTTGTAAGTGACTTTTTGAGATTTGAAAGCATTTTCATTCTGCAGCGTTGTCATCAAGGTTTTGATTGGCAGTGAATAGTGCTTTTATTGATGGGGTTGGGGTTTATTTGGGAAAAGGAACGAGGTAAAGGAAGGTCACTTGTAGCTATCCAGATGCCGATTTGAAATCTACCAGTTGCTGGGAGTCTTTCCATTAGCTTTATTGGGCTTTGGGTCATACTCTTGGTAAACTTTCTACATTATAGCAGCAGTATTCATGCAAAGTCTGTAAAGACTGCTGAAGTTAATGGAAGTGTTTCTTTTGACTTGGAAATAAGTGCAGAATAACACCAGAATGGCTCTACTGAATATTGAAACCACAGTATTGTCAATCGGATGTGGTTGGTCCCTCAGAAGCATAGAAAAAAGCAAAGGGCGAAATATTGTAATTTTACATAGATTTACTTTCCATTTTTAAGTAATGGACAGGTTTGTCACCAATTGGTTTATTTTCCATTTTCTATGGGCCTTGAATCTGGAGCCTCAGAGAATAGAGAAGGGAAATTGTTTCAACCTGTCACTGATGTTAGTCAACTAGAAAGAGAAGACTTAAGTCTTAGTATAGTTTACCCATTTTTCTTCTTTTTCACAGGTTGGACAAAGTTTGCTCGGTTGACAAGAGCTTTAACGAACAGCCGGAGTGTTTTGCAGCAGCTAACGCCAATGAACAAAGCTGAGGTGGTGCACAAACATTCAAGATTAGCTGAGGTGAGTGTGAGACATGGACCCATGTTAGTAAGTCCCAAATGATGGATAAGAAAATCAGCACCTTGAGAAACAATGGTTTTATGTGAAGATTAACTTTCCTAGCAGCTACCTTTCAAGTATGTTTTTTGCCAGTACAAAAGAACATGTTAAATACACTTTGCCACCTTTTTAGGACAAGACACAATGCGTTTCACCTGGAAACAAATATAGATCTCTCTTACTTGGTGTCTCCATGTTTCTCCGTGTAATTCCCAATTTGTTGCATCAATCAAATGCACAGCCTGGCCTGCACGCTTACTCAATCTGAGTATAGTGTTTACATTCACATAGGACCAGGTTGGACCCAGAGGGTGCATCTACACATGCAATTAGCTTGTAGCAATAAACTACAATGATCTCTGGTGCAGTTCGTGCCAGAGTTCATTGCTCCCGGGCGCAGGGTTTGCATGTGTGCCCGGGACCGTAGCAATCTGAGCCAGGGCAGAGCAGCTACAGGCTGGAAGGAGGTCCAGGGGTCAGCCTGCCAACCTGGGGCGGTCTGCCCCAGCTCAGTGTGCTGCAGAGTGGCTGACTGGGGCACGAGGACACTATAGTGCGGGACTAACTGGCAGGCATCCCCTGCACTGTAGCACCCTTGTGCCCCAGCCGGCCCCCATCACCACATACATGTGTGTTTCGACACGTGTAACTCCTCTGCTATAGAATAGTAGTTGTCCCAGACATTACTATCTGACAATGGCACTAGTTAATTTCCTGTGCCCTAATATGGGTGCACGTGTAGACGGTGACACTTTACTGAGGGACTAATTAGTCAGCTCCACAGCAAAGTGCACATGTAGATGCATCCAAAGAGCATTCCTCAGCTCCTCTATTCAACTTACCCTTCAACTAGTCCTGAAAGAGGAGCGTCAGAGAAACAAGATGCTAATCTACATAAGCTTTATATGCAAGGTGAATGCAAACATGTTTTGTTGATGCTGTTGTACCCAGCTCTGAAAAATCTGTCCTGCCACATTTTATCCACCTTTTATTTTTTAAAGGCTGTAAAATAAGCCCATTAGGAGGCCAAAATCATTCCTTAAACAGTACAAATAATGCAACAGGTGAATGCTTTCTGGTTAACTGCTGAAATAGATTTACTGCTGTCATCTTCATGTCCGTTGGTAGGTAGAAGCTGCCAAAATATACGAGCTACTAAAAGTGACAGTGCTAGTCACTTTGTGCCAGAGGGCTGGTTCTGAGTTTAGCATTAAAGATTGATAGCAGCATAAAATGTATCCAGTTCTCTTTGTAGTTGTAGTGCACTTTGAATTCATGGCTGTAGAATTTTATTATAATAAGTTGAAAACTTCTAGTGTTGTCACTGCTGCTTTTTTTAATGCAATATCTTGTACTGCTCTTGAGAGAACTTGGATGACCAGAATGATTGCTTTCATCTTTTGCTTTTCCAATCTGTGTGTGCTGCATAAACCAGGTTGTATCATTTGGGGTCCTGTGGGATTAGGAGGTATGTAAGGAAAGGAAATTTCCATTCCAGTTTGCCCTTGGCAGAATGTACTGCCCACGCTTGCCAAGTTTTTAACTATTACCAACTATGGATGTCACTTGTATACAAGAATAATAATAGGGGGGTCTGCACTGAATAAAGCGGTGCAATAAAAAGCATTTCTAGGGTTTTAAACTAAAAAAAAAGTCATGCAGCATGAAGTGGAATCATAATAGTTCATTGTCCTCCACAGCCACATCTTCTGCCTCCCACATACCATGTCAAGCTGAGCATGGTATTATTTTAAGAACGATAATAATATCTCTTTGTTTATAATACTGTTGTTTACCCGCAGTTCCCAGCCTTTTTTGCATGTGAGCCTCCACTTCTGAGCTTGCAACTTCACTTCTAGTATGAGCCCAATTGTCGTAATTGAGTTTCCACGGAGCTGGTGATCCCACTCATAATGTCCTACAATCCCACCTGGGGTTGTGATGACTAATTTAAGGATAGCATGCTAGTCTAAGAACCCCCATGCTACATTATAATGCAGAGTAGATATACCCATGGTTTCTGTCCCAAAACTGTTAGTTTAATCTGAAACAAGACACAACTGAGTATCCATATCAAGTGGGAGTCATCAAACTCTTTCTGAATTGTTATGGCCACTTGTCCTGCCAATGAATGAAACCCTTGCATGAAACCAAGGGCTCAATACGTTTTTAACTCAGTAATAGATTCTCATTCCTTGGTCCTAACTTCGTATTCGTCAGCAGGTTTTTATCACTGCACCCCATGAGACCTACTTTAAAGCTCTCCTCACTATGCTAGTCAGACAGTGCCCAGAAATGCTCTCCTCGGTCTTTGTCAATCAGGTCTCATCCTGCACGTCAGCTGCATTTGACAGAAATGCGTTGCGAGACACATCACTGGTAGTCTCCATTACCCCCTATCCAACAGGCTGTTTAGAAACAAATGTCAAAATAGTGAAGTTCCTGTTAAAAAAAAGGTTGCCGTGTAATTGCCACTGTTAAATTACAAAACAGCATCGCTGATGCGTAGGGGTTGTTGTGTAGTGACACATCATTCAACCAGCAACTGAAATCAAGAATTAAGAACGTAATGGCCCTCTTAGGTCATCGCGTCCAGTTCTTTCCTGTTAGCAGTGGATGGGAGTGTTGTTAGGGTCTTGAAGTAATGGGGCAAAATTTTGGGACATAAGAACTGTCCATTTTACAATAATGTCACTTGTGTGTCTGATGGGGAACAATGGTTATAAATGGCAGTGGTATTACAAGAGATACCCATGAAGTTATTCATAGCCATCATCCCAGATGCTGTGACAGGCAGTGAGCCCAGCAGGTTGAGGTGGCTGAGCTTCAAACAGGACACAGCCAGACCTGTTGACTTACTGATGCTTGACCAGAGGTGATCTGGAGGGCACCTCGGAGATGAGTAGAACATCGCTAGTCGATTATTTGTATGTCTTCTTAAAATTCTTTATGTCAGTGTTGATTAAAACTGCTATTAAGTTTGCCTGGGGCAGGAGGCGAACGCGGGGAGCTGTATCCTTAAGAAGCTGTGGCATGGTCTGTTTTGACTTGCATATTGTATTATGCAGAGGCTCATATTAAACAGTTGCATCAGTTAGGACTTCGACCCTGAATGAAGCCCCCCGCCACCTAAACTTAGCTTCACTTTTCTTTTTTTGGAAAGAACAATGCAAAGAATTAGCTGGAAATTCAACCTGCAAGACTTGATTCATGCTCTTAAATATTGTTCTGCTTATTTCAGAACCACCCACTCCTGTTCATCAGGCACATATTCCGGGCTTGATCATTTTGACAAGCATGGTGTGCCTGTGTGCCACGTAGCTGAAACTGTAAATATGACACATCAACTCTGGTAAAGGGTGCTGAAAGCCAATGTGGCAGTGTAATGCATTCCTGGAGATTGAAACAATGTATTTTATCCGGTGCCTGTTTGAAATCCAAATTCTTAAATCTGCTATTGGATCCAGTCATGCATGTGTGCACACATAAGTGTGTGTGTGTGTGGATCTTTCAGGTGTCAGCTCAATAGGTCTCCTCATCAGGGTGTTTACTGCTCTGTTCCTTCCTGCTTCTGTTTCTCATGCTGGACAGAGATAAGTGCTAACTTGGCTAGTTAGGATAATGTCCGTGGAAATTCTGTTGGTTTTTTAACAATGGTTACTATTCTAGATTATATAAAGGGAGAGGGGGTGTGAGTGCGTGCAGAAGATACTGGGCGGAGGCAGACTTCTTTAAAACAGTGTTTATTTTGCATCAATAAAACGAAATATTGAGTCATTGCTGATGTTGAGAGTTTTTTTTTTTTCAATGGCAATGCATTTATATGCATTATGAGAATGAAGAAGGAAGTATACAGTATAATTTTATCTATTCATATGCTTTCAGGAAATTAGAGCAGGTCTTATAAACATAACATTTTATGTTAAGAAGTGGCTAGCCAATGGTTACCAAAACACCATTGTGTAGGAGAAAGTTGATACTAGATTTTTTAAATTAAGAGTTCAGGCATGAATGCTGAGGTGTACAGCACCTGCTGTTAAGAATAAGATTTCATATTTTTAACGTGTCAGTGCTGGCCTGGCTATACCCAGATGGGGCTTATGCCAGCTAGTTGGCAGAGCACCTTGCTTTGAACTTCTCTACACTGGCTGTTGGCATGGTCTCCTCTCTGTCCATCTGAATAATCTCCTTCTAAGTAAGATTACCCTTACGCTCTATGTTTTTCCCAGTCATTGAGAGAGAGCTGCCTTTGCCCAATCCTACATGATTTATGCACTGATGAGATCCCTAGATTAACAAATTAAATAATTTAAAAACTGCAAGTATCTTCAGAATGGGCAGGATGCAGTGAAAAATGTTCTCTTCCTTTTTCTATGTGTTCCATAAATGTGTACAATCCCCATTATATACAATGCTAAATGAAAGCCATAACATTTGTGCTCCTTTCTCTTACAGGTTCTCCAGCTTGGATCTGATATTCTTCCTCAGTATAAACAAGAAGCTCCAAAGACTCCCCCCCACATTATTTTACATTATTGTGCTTTTAAGACCACCTGGGACTGGGTCATCTTAATTCTAACCTTCTATACAGCAATTATGGTTCCTTACAATGTCTCCTTCAAAACAAAGCAGAACAACATCGCCTGGCTGGTACTGGACAGCGTGGTGGATGTTATTTTTCTGGTTGACATTGTTTTAAACTTTCATACAACCTTTGTTGGCCCTGGCGGAGAGGTTATATCTGATCCCAAACTCATAAGGATGAACTACCTGAAAACGTGGTTTGTGATAGACCTTCTGTCCTGTTTACCTTACGATATCATCAATGCCTTTGAGAATGTGGATGAGGTAAGCTATGCCCATCTATGTGAAATTGCAGCCTATTATTTTAATTGCCAATTAATTTGGGATCACATTCTGCATCTTTCAACATAATTAGTCGAATGAAGCTCTGTGCAAATGTGTGTATAGAATTTGGCTTTGGAAAGGGAAAGTGTCTCACTGAGCAATAAACAAGAACGCTCCTGGTACGTGTGATTTAAAAGTTACTCGGGTATGAATCTGAAAATTGCTTGTGCTAACTAAAATTGGTTCCCACTGAAGCCAATAGTAAAGCTTCCATTGACTTGAGAGAGGACAGAAAGCCTGAGCTTTGAACTTTTTTGAGTCCCACCCAACATGGTTATTTGCACCCTGCTGTAATGCTTTTCCTTCTAGTGACTTGTTTAATTTTTGTTTGAGAGACTGGTGACATTTTAATTAGCGCTATAGCTGGAACTTTTAGAGACCATTTGTGGGGAAAAAAGTGCAAATCAAAAAGAGACTATGTTAAAGCTTCTAAAATTTTAGCCACATTAACATTTACAAAATCAAGGGTGCAGCCTGGGATAATGGGGAAGGCAAGTAATAACTACAACTAATAATGCATACATGACTCAGTGTAGACAGAATTCATTATTAAAATGCAGCCATAATAGTATTAGTAGTCATTTTAATTTCCCTTTAGGGCCTTTTATCCGTGGGGCACTAAACAGATGAAACGGACTCTATTCATTTTTTAGCATTTTAACTGTTATCATTCTGCAGTGGTACATCCTCACATTTTAAAAAACCATACCCATACCCGTATTCCTCCATGCAGATTTTTGTTTCAGTTTTCCAGAGCTCTTTTTTTAAATGATACCTGTGCTTTTTCCACTTAGAACCATTTTTTTTTACATTTGTTCCATTTTATTTATAGCAAATATAACAGAAGTGATAATATGCGCAGTTTAAATTCAAGATCATTTGAGGGCTTCCTGTGTGAGATTTATTTCAGGAAGGAAGCTAATATTAGGGTGTTAGTGTATTCTAGCTTTTAAAAATAACTCAAAATACTAGTTCTCTGTTAACAGGAACCTGGTTAAAAAACAAAACAAAATGTATCCATATGGAAAACAAGCTTCTCTGTACAAACCATATGCAGTTTTTTTCAGTTTAAACTTACCTTTTTCTCTGATCTGTCCATAGAACTTATCTGGGATATTGATGACAATGAAGGGCACTGAATTTTAAAAGAAATTCCTGGTTCAGAATAATAGAGATGCATATTTTTAAAAAATCCTCTAAACATTAAACATTGAAACAAAAAAAGGGATCGTGAGCTACTGTCGATCTAGGGCACTTAAGAATGAGCTGCTGATGAATTACATATTTGACACTTTTCAACTTGTGTTAAATGAACCAATCTTTAGTAGTGTCTCTTTTTAGAGTAGTAGTCTGTGGACCTGGGACTTTTAAACCAATAGCTATATGGGGCAGGGTTTCTATGCCTGAAACACTAGCTCAAGGAGGCGTAGGAAGCAGGCAACAGAACCTTTTCTGATGGCTTGTCTTCAGTTTATTGTAGTTTTGCATTTCAATCTTTTTAGCAGCTTTGTTTTCTAGAAATCTGGGTTTGTCAGTGCTTTACCTTCTTTGCATTTTGACTTTTTCCCACATCTTTCTTGTGGGAGAACTCAGTGGCCTAGTAATAACATTTTTCTCAAATAATATTAGCATGGTAAAGAGATTGATATACTTGGGGTGGATGCTCTGGGAAGTATTCTGGTATATGGTAGCTATGAACTGTTAACTTTATTTGGAACAATGGCTCTTTATAAGAGAATGGGTCATGGCTTAGTTTCTTCTTTGAAGGGTGTATGGCAGAAATGATTGTAATTGTTCTTCATTTCACTTTGACAGTGAAATCATTCACTTTGACAGTGAAGGAAGGAGATCATGAGAGAAGCTTTGGTTTGAAGGTGTATGTGGAAAGAAAGCTCAAGTTATGTCGGAGAGGGAGTCTTATGGAATCAGGATTTACTGGCACTTGCCAGTTGTAGTTTCCAGTGCCTTTTGGGCACAGAGGTTGGTACTGAATTAAAGTCCTGAAACTTAACCTGTCTCAAGTGTTAGCAAAGCAGGTGACTGTGAAGGATCTTCAGCTTGTAGCTCTGCAGTCCCTTCATGTCTCTCAGCAAGAAGAAAGGAAATTCTTGGCTTTCTGAAAGCGGTGGAACACAGCCCTACTGTTGGGCTGTGGCAGATCAGTAATCCAACCCTTTCTCCTCTCCCCACATGACCCAAAAGATGCACTGGGTATTTGTGGAAGGGATGGGAGCTGTGCTGAGGGGTGATGGGGAACTTGGAGACATCCCATTTGTCGCCTTCCCTCTGTGAATATCTGTACATATTCGGTGACTGAAGGTTAAGTCAAGGAGGTTTAGAGGTATGGCTCTCTGGTACAGCCAGCTAATGCACATGGATCAGTATTTGGCCCTTAGAGAATAAAATATAAGCTAAGTAACCCACCACAATTCACTTTAGACTACCCATTCTCTGTCCTGATCATAAATTAGACTGGCTGATGGGGGGGGGGGGGGGGGTTTCTATGCCATCTTTTATAATAGTTAAGCTATTATCTAACATACTTTTAGAAACGTATTGCATCTGAGGGTGATGTCACATGACATTTACATAGGTACGATCTGCCTTTATACCAGTGTAAATGTGGATTGGACCCTTGATAATACAACCCTGCACTAGTGTAAATGCCTGTAGTTTGGAGTAAATTTGCTTTTGGGAAAATTAGAGGTCACAATACCCCAGTGCATTATACTGGTGTATGATCTGTATGTCAGCAGCTGTAGTCCAGGAGTCAGCAGCCTTTTGCCAACACGGGCTGGAGCTTATGAGCTGGCTGTCATTGTGGGCTGGAAGTCTATCCCTCCCGCATCGTTGAGTGGCTGGCTGTTGGATTCCTGGCCCCTTTGCAGCAAGGGGAGTCTCAGAGGCTGCAGAGCAGCAGGTCTGCTGGGGAGGGGAGCTCTGCCAAGTCGAGGGATGGTGCGATGCAGCTGTGTAAGCCCGATTTTCCCCCCATGCTGGGTTGCACTTCTTTGCAGGCTGGATCAGATTTCTTTGCAAGCCAAATCCACCTCAGGGGCTGTAGGTTGTCAATCCCTGTTCTAGTCAGTTTAATCCTGAGGTTAAGATACTTGTTTGCTTGATGGAAACAAGTCATTTCCAACTGCCCATCACCCAGCACCAGGGCACTGTAGTAGCTCCTATTGCAGACCGCAACTTTGGGAGAACTGGTTGTGTGTCCATTTGGGACACCAGTGTGGTTTTACAAACCACTGTAAGTTACACTGGTGTTATTATGCCTTAGGTGTACACCATGGAGAGTTCTTTTGCCACCCGCTAGGCCTGTGAGAAGCGACTAGTATTTGCTTTGGATTCAGCTGATTTGGGGGACCGTGATTCGATTCGGTGATTCAAATCACTGTCCTGAAGTGATTCAGCCGCCGCTGATTAGGACGAATCTCCAAATCAAACAGGCCCTATCCCCCGCCCGCTCTCCCACCCCGACAATGGCTGCCCCGCCCAACCCCAGTGTCCCAGCACTTTAAATAAAAGAAAAGCCCCACACTCAC